CAGTGGGGTGGGGCAGTGCAGGTAGAGGGCAGTGGGGCACAGCCACCACAGGTACTTTCTGTTTGGGTTGGTGGAGCTGCAATCAGAGCGACCAAGCTACTCTACCGTGGATGCCTCCTCTGGTGGTGATGGGGCTGTACTTCACTGGGGCTGTGTCACCAGGCCTCCCTGCCTCCCCGGCATGCATGAGACAGCTGGTGAGGGCGGGGTGGCTTCCTGTGTGCATTGTTCCCAAGCTCACACGAGGGCTTCTCTGCTTCACTTAACGTAACGCAGAGTTGTTAAGACCGTGACCTGTTAGTGACTCAGGCTGCCCAAGAGAGCACCGCAGCCACCGGTGAGACCACAGGCACCTGCTGTCTGGCTCAGAGGTGCAGCGGCTGGTCTCCGTGGCAGGTGGCCGTGTTCTCAGCATGTCCTGACCTGGTCTTCCTGCGCAAGTGGCTTTTCCTCACAGGGATGCTAACCTTGGGGGTCAGCCTCTCCTTGGCATGAGCGTCTCTCACCCGGAGACGCCGTGGTCCATGTGGGCTCTGTGCACTGCTGTCTGTCCGTGACTAGGCCCAGGCCCACCTGACCGTCAGGTGTTGGAGCAAAGCCAGAAACCCTTCCTGTGTAGCATCTGTGGGGTCATGTGTCGCCCCTTAGATCCCAACTGAGCATAGCACTGTGGGCAGGAAGGCAGTGCAGGTCTAAGAGTCCCGCACGGGGCAGAGAGAGTGAGGGCCAAGCATCCCAAGCCCACAGACACGCCCTGCAGGCCAGGCTGTGTGTACATATCTTCCCTGTGCTCCTTGGGCCCTGGCTTTGCTGCAGCAGCCCTCTTCTGCCTGGCGGGTTCTCTGGGATCGGCAGGCTCTGTCCCTGCCATAGTAGCCAGCTCAGGAACAGGTGCTTGGACCCAAGGGCGCCACTGACTTGTACAACCCTGAGTGATCCCCACGCCGCACTGCCACGCTGTCTGTGAATGCGTGTGTGTGTGTGTGTGTGTGCTGCTTGTGGTGCACATATATATAGATACGTGCCCTTCTGTTTGTGAAGTGTGCATGTGCCTGCGTCGCTTGCTGAAGAGTGTGCTGCTTGGACAGGTGTGGGTGTGACCGAGCGCCTGTGCACAGCCCCGTGCCTTGCGGTGGCCCACACAGCTGGCCCTGCAGCTGGCATGGAGGTGCTCAGAGAGCCTGGGAGGCGCGAGCAGTCGAGGGCGCGGCGTGGCTTGTGCTTCTCTCTCGCGCTTTACAACGTTTACGGTTTTGTTGTTGTTGCCGTTGACAGTGAAGAGGAAGAAAAGCTCCAAATCGGAGGCTAAGGGCACAGTGCCGAAAGTCACCGGGAAGAAGATCACCAAGATCATCAGCTTGGGGAAGAAGAAGCCGTCCACGGATGAGCAGACCTCGTCCGCCGAGGAGGACGTGCCCACCTGTGGTGAGACACCCGAGCCCCAGTGGTGGGCAGGGGGGCAGGAGGTGCTGTGAGCCGCTGCCCGGGCAGGATCTGCAGGTCCCCGGGCCACGGCCGCGGGGCTTTCGCGTGCACTGTAGGCGTCTGGGGTGTGGGAGATACTGCGTTAGTGCCCAGATCCCAGGGGTTCAGCGTGACTGCACGCTCCTTCCAGGGGGCATCTGTGCGCTGCTCCCAGCTCCTCTCCGGGGTGCTAGCCCAGAAGAGCCGGGGGGCTGTGTGAGGGGAAGGGCGGAGAGCAGCGCTGTGGGGCTGAGGTCGGAGTGCTCCCTCCAGCTCCTCCCATGGTTGCTCCCCAAGCGTCAGTCAGCCCAGTGGAACCCACGCGACCTTCGTCTGTTCACGGTCTCCCAGGCAGCTGTTTGTCACGGCCTGTGTTGAGCTCGTGGGGCATGACTGTGACAGAACAGCTCTGCCCTCCCATGGAGCCACCTTAGACATGTGCAGAACACAGAATCTTGGAGGGCATGCTCGTCCTCGGCCCGATCAGGCCCAGAAGGGGCAGAGGCAGCGCTGGTGCCTGGGGACTGGAGCCGGGCATGGGGAGGCGGTACGGGGAGGCTCCGGGAAGGGCTGAGATCTCTGTGTTTCTCAGCAGTCCGATGTAGAAGAATCATGTCGCTGCTCCAGGGAGAAAGCACGGGGGCCTGTGCTCTCAGGTGCTGTGTAACATCCACCTCTTGTGGACACGGTGAAGTCCCAAGGTGGCTGTGGTGTCGGCCCTGTGAGGTGAGGTGCCCTTCAGAGTTTGGCTGAGCGACTGCCCTTTCTTGGGGTTAGACTGGGAACAGTGTCACTGTGCAGAGAGCTAGGGTCTGGTAAGCCTGTCCTTGGTGGAGGGCAGCTGGGCAGAGGCCGGGCAGCTGATCTGAATCTGCCCCCGATTCCCTCTCAGCAGCAGGGCACGCAGCTGTGGACTGCCCAGGTGGCCTGCGGTGGCCAGCACAGGGAAAGGATGGGGATGCTGCTGTGCTCTGCCCTGTGGACACAACACTCCCATGAGAGGAACTTATGGACATTCGGGAGGTGACACACTTGTCACTCTGGATCCCAACCACCTCCCAAGTATCTGGTGCCAGCCGGCCCATGGGAGGCAGGCATACTAGAGCCCATGTCAGGTATCTTTGTCCCTGCTGGCCTGGGAGGCCACATGTTGGAGGGTCAGTGGTGGAGCTGGGGGTGTCGGCACCATGCTGGCTGTGGGCAGCGCCAAGCACACAATGACTGGACATCTTGGGGCCCAGCTCCTCCTGGTTGCTTGCAGATGAGTCCTGCCTGTGTTTGGGTGTCCATATTTTAGCCACCTGTGACCAAAGCAAGGTCCCTCTCAGGTGGGCCTTCCATCCCTTTCTCTGCCTTTCTGCTGCAGCTACCTGAGTTCCAGAGCCACCTGGCCTAGGACCAGAGATGCTAGACACAGGGACAGTTGGCATGATTTTTATTTGGTCTGTACTTGTGAGTTAAATGTGTGCGTGTGCGTGTGTGTGTGTGCATGTGTGTGTTACTGGGAGTTGAACCCAGGCCTTCACGTTGACCGATATCTCTAGAGATTTTTTTTTTCTAGGCAGACAGGGTCTCTCTAAGTCACTAAGTTGCCCAGGCAGGGCTTGAATGTGTGAGTCTCCTGCCTTAGCCTCCCGAGTGCTGGGATTACAGGCGTGGACTCCATGCCTAGCTTTGAAGCTAATTTTATATTTCTGCTGAAGCCTCCTCATGCAGCCGGCCTCAGTGCAGAGAAGGACCCCTGCTTTAGAATTGGAGCAGAGGTAATCTCAGACCTCTGGGCTGAAATTCCCAAATGGCAGCCTGCCACAACAGAAATAGGATCAACCCCCCAAAACAACGGAACTAGGAGCAGACCACATGGGAGTGGCCAGCTCCACAAAGCCGCATCCTCCCCGACCCAGCAACCCCTCCCCCCACCTCTGGCACTGGACTTGCGGACCCAGGAGGTGACGAGCGGGCCCCTGGCTGCCTGGGTTCGTCGACAGCCTGGGCTGTGGGCTGGGAGCATGCAGGGCCCCTTCCCCCAGGCCCGGCTGCACCCTGCCCACCCAGCAAAGGGACCCCAGCCTCCCGTGAGGCGAGATGGAGCCAAGTGGCCGTGCTGCTTCCCGTTTGCATCAGCAGGCCTGCTTTCCAGGCCACTTTCTTTTCTTTTTCCCTTTTTAAGACCATAAATAAACCCAAGAAAGACACTGGAACATGGAAATGTCCCGTGAAGTCATGCTCTGAATGCAGCGTGGCCGTGTCACGTATAATCGCTCCTTCCGCGGCTGCAGCAGCGGGAGATCCATAGCACACAGGGCCCGTGGCCGCCTCCCTCTAGCGGGGACAGACCCATGGCCCAAGTGCGTGCCTCGTGGTCCGCAGGCAGTGTGTGGTGATGGCTGCTACTGCCCCACAGGGCTTGGCGCTGGAGCAAGCGGGTGCCCTCACGTGACCCTGAAATCAGTCATGTGGGTTTCGAGGGAGCACTGTCTCTGCTGCTGGGACAGACAGATGGGGACTCCAGGTCGCCTGCGTCAAGGCCAGGGTCCCACTCAGGCTGTGCCTTAGGCTGTCCGTGGGCACTGGCTCTGGCTCCCTCTGCCTCTCCTAGGCCCTTGAGACCCTGTCCCTGCAGTCACCCCTAAGTGTCTAAAGCACCTGAGGACCTTGGTCGCCTTTTGCCTGCTCGTGTACACTGAGAGTGCAGTCACCAGCACTGAGCCAGGCTCACGTCCCCACTGTCACCCTCCACCCCGCGGCGGCAGGGGCCCCTTTCTGCGCGTGGGTAGCAGTGAGCTCATGGCCAGCCAGATGGAGACAAAGATGCCATGTGTGCCCACTGGGTTTATTTAACAAATACCTCGCCACCATGTGTGAGTAATAGGTAAGCTTCATTCTGGGTCCTGAACACACTGTTCAGTTTTGGTTTTATGGTGTTGCTGACGGCAGTAGAGTATGTAAGACTCAGCACAGAAGAGTGGTGAAGTGCGTTCTCTCAGTGCCTTTGGTAAAGGGTCGTGAGCACTTGTTTGCTTTTCTTAGCAATTTGTATGTGTGCGTGCGTGTGTGTGCACATGTCCATGAGTTGAACGAGGCTGCCTGACGTGGGTTGGAAGTCCTTGTTTTCGCCCCAGTCCATGTCATGGGCACCGTTCACCCCCTTCCTGGCCCTCGGGGAGGGCAGCTGTGTGCTGTGCTGTGGCGTGGTGCCGCCCACAGCCACCGTCAGTCTCGCTCTCGCCATATTTCTAGAAGTACACGTTGTGCTTGTGACAGCTAAAGATGCCCTTTTAGATTTCTTTTTTAAGAAGCAGGGCTGATTCTTGTACTTCGGTCGCCTGCCCAGCATTGGTCGCTGCAGCACCCTGAAGACACCGTGCCCCCAGCCCACACAGAACTCGGTCTGCGAGGGCAGCCTCACTGGTGGGCGCGGCCTTCCCTGGGTACCAAGACGCAGAGGATGCCCTGGCCCGAGGCTTCCTTGTCTGTGGGGTTGCCCAGGGCTGGGGGCCTTATTTCCGTGTTTAGTTTATTTTTCTCATACTAAGCCAAAAGCCATCCTGCCGTGACCTGAGTGCATTCGTGGGGCTTCTCAAAGTCAGGCCATGTGCTTTTCAGGAGTCCCCTTTGGCTACTGGCAGCTGTCCAGGGCCCACTCCCCTCCCGCCATCCTCACCCACTGCCACGGTGGCGCCACCTGCTGTCCTGGGAAGAGCCTGGGCCTGCTGGCCTGGAGCCAGCCTGGCAGTGATCCAGGTTTATGTGGGTTATTTTCAGAGTTGTGGGCATGATGAGTTTGCTGTCCCTGCCACCTTCCCTGGGTGTCTCTGGTAAGGTGGCGCCAGCAGGCCCTGGGCCGTCTCCCCACCGCCTGGCCCGGCAGGCAGCCTGGGCTGACCTCGTGTCCTGTCCTCGCAGGCTACCTGAACGTGCTGTCCAACAGCCGCTGGCGGGAGCGCTGGTGCAGGGTGAAGGACAGCAAGCTCATCTTCCACAAGGACAGGGCCGACCTGAAGACGCACATCGTCTCCATCCCGCTGCGCGGCTGCGAGGTAATCCCGGGCCTGGACTCCAAGCACCCCCTGACCTTCCGGCTGCTCCGCAATGGACAGGAGGTGGCTGTGCTCGAGGTAAGGGGTCCCCAGCTGTCACTCTCTGGGGCATCCTCACAGTGGCTTCCTTCCCCCACATCCTTTCTGCCTGGCTCCCGGCATGGGAATGGAGGGTCCCGTTCCCTCCCCTGGCCCTGGATGCATCTACGTTTCCTCCTCCCACCCATCTTTCTGAGTAGTGCCAACAGTGCCAGAGCTGCACACACCTACACCCATGTACCCACAGAATTCCCAGCCCGTGTGGGGCGGGGGGCGCAGAAAGAGTCAGGCCCCAAGAGCTAGCAGGGGCACAGGGTGGAGCCAGCGTCCAGGCGCCCGGACAGTGTCTTCAATTCCAGAGGCAGTGGTCTGTTTCAGGGGCTGTTTTCACACAGGCAACCTTTTATTTTGGGGCCCAGAGCAGGTGAAAAATAGAACAGCCTCAGCTTCCTCCAAGGAAGCCCTGTCCCCTTTGGGAGCGGCCCAAGGACCAACTGCGCCCCCTGGTGGTCTCTGGTGGCTCCTGCCGTTTGGGACCCCTCAGGAGAGCGGTCAGCCTGAGCTCTGTGGCAGGCTCTGATCAAACAGTCTTATGGTTTCGTTTTCTTTCAGTATAACACCCGTGTGGGGCTGCAGTCTTTGTAGACCTGTATGTGGTGTGAAAACTGTCACGTGGACGGTCGAGAGGAGGCTAAAGCCCTAACCCTGTGACGTAAGGCTGAGATCTCCCTAGGAGTCCTGGCAGGAGCCGCGAGCACAGGGCAGGGGCGGGCAGGAGAGTGCGTGTGTGCCCGGGCACACACTTGTGAGCCAGGCTGGAGGGCAGGCAGGGGATGCAGGCCTGTGTCCTGGGGGACAGGCCGGGAGCCACTCCAGGGGTGTCACAGTGCCTGGTAGCACTTGTTCCCTGAGAATGACACGGAGTGGATTGGGTTTCCTGAGTGGCAGTGAAATCTGGAGTTAGCCAGTGTCACCCTGTGCAAGAAAACTGAGTAAAACATGACAGAAATCAAGAAGAGCCACAGCGTCCTGTGAGGAGGGCAGAGGTCTGCCTCGTAGCAGAACGCATGACGAGCCGGGCTCCGTGGGCTGCTCTTGTCCTACGAGCACTGCAGCTTTTATTCTGAGATATCTCAGAACGACAAATGTGATAGAAGTAGTTCAAAGAAGGCCCCTGTACCCTCCACCCAGGGTCCCAAGCTGGCGTTTCTCCAAGTTTGCCCTCGCGGTTCCCTCTGTGTGGACATAGAAAGTGCCCTGGCGTTGGTTTCCTGCGTCTGTACATGCTCCCTGTGCATTTGCTGACAAGCAGAGCAGATGCCAGGAGCACAGCGTGGCCATCAGGGTGTGACCCTTCCTTCCCGCTCTTCTGAGCTCCCCCATTTTGCCACACTCCCTGGTCTTTCTGGCTCTGCCCTTCGCCCTCAGGAGGAAGCCCCTGCTCACAAGCTGGCCTAGCCTCCAGGCGTGCGCCACCCTGCCTGGCTGGGCCCCGCCGCTGATGCCGACCCTCTCCAAGGGCGCACACCTGCTCCTCACCGAGGCACAGGTGCTGTTTACTCGCACAGGATCCAGGGGCCTCGGCAGGAGCCCTGTGGACGTGGCATTATTTTACAGCACCCTATGGGGCGTGCGTGTCAGCGCATCTCTTTCTAGGGCTGGTAACTCAGACACCCTGGGTACCATGGTCCCCTCTTAGCCGTACTGTGTGGGAAGGTCCTGAGACTGTTGCTGTCCTGCTAACACTCAGAATCTCACCCTCTACCCTGACCTGCCCGGAACAGCCTTTGCAAGGACAGTTGCCAACTGGTGACTGTGGGCCATTGTCCCTTGTGCCTGTCAGGTGATGGCTGCTGTGAGGGCTGTCCCTTCCTCCTTTCTCCTCAGTTACATACTCATTCATGCGAGCGTGTGTGGCGTGGCCATTGCAGGCCCTCTGTTAGCATTTGGGTCAACTTACTTTGCAGCTGATCCTTGCGGCCCTGCTGTGGCCCTGGGGTTCTTCAGACACTCTGTGCTCTGGGACACAGTGAGGTGCCCCAGGCCACTCTGGCCCCTTGCTGCCCAGGTCAATGAGATCTGTCCCCAGAGCATGTGATCCACTCCATGCAGAGGGGCCAGCTTTGAGCGGGCGGGCTGGGCGCGCTGCTGTGAGCTGTCGCTGCTGCTGTGCCTGCCTGGTGGACGCACTCCGGAGACACACAGGTGTGCGTGTGCACGTGTGTGATGCGCACACATGCTTGGCCGTGCTTGAGTGCTGTGCGTACTTGTGAGTCAGCACACACATCCACACCCCACCCCCGGGGGCTTGTTTCTGTATCTGCTCATAACTAAAGGCCAGTCCCGGGCCAGCACCCCAGGGCTCCTTTCCAAAACCCGTGAGGCCCATGCATAAGCGAACGATGGGTGACCCACACCCTTTGCACCCTGTACCAGAAGCCTCGGTGAAGCAGCTGTGGACATGCAGGGACGGGTTGGCTCCACGCTCCTCTATACTCCCAGTCTCAGCCGCAGGCCCTGCCTGGCGGAGACTGTCTGAGGAAGGACTAAAGGCCTGGGACGAGGACACAGCTGTGATTTTTCTCAAAGTCCAAGTGTTGGGCTGAGTTCACTTCAATTTGGCGAGCACCAACCCTGCCTGCCCACTCTGCGGGGCCAGCCCCTTGGGCCTTCTAGGATGATTTATGAGGTGGGAAATACCACCCCTGGGCAGCATTGCCAGCATTCAGAAGGGACCTTTTAATTTGTGGCTCTTTCTGGCGTAGAATAGAATTGTAAACCCAATTCTCCTTACACCTTTTAAGTTCTACTGTAAATATTTCTCCATTTAAAAAATGTATAATTTTTGTAAGGATAAAATTTGTTTTTTCCTCAACATTCAGTCCGTTGATACATTTGATAGCCTAATTTCCCCTAAGCTTTAAACACGGTTGACATTTCAATTAATTGCATTTATTTATTTATTACAAAGTATAGCATGTTTATAAAACATTGCCTGACTGCCTTTCCAAGTCACATGACAGGATGGCTTAAAACTTGATGATTATAACCTTAGAGATCTATTTTAGATGTGTAAGCTAAGCAGATCAAATTGTGCAGTTGGCTGGATTATGGGATTGGCCGGAGTGGGGTGGCCTGGTGGTCCCAAGCCAAGGGACCCCTATGGGCAGGGTAGGGAGGCACCTCCGACCACGGCATGGGGTCACTCTGCACAGGCCAGTCCCAGTGGCCTACAGCCCAGCGTGTGGTCGAGCACTCCGGGTCGGCAGCAGCCACCAGGGCTCCCTCCTGTGCCACCCTGCTCCTCCGTGAGTGACCGGGGCTCCCAGAGCCTGCCTTGGCGGGCATGGACCAGCAGCGCCTCCACCTGGGCCCATTGCAGGTGCTGCCCTGAGCGCCCTCGCCCTTGCTGCCGTGAGCCTCCCACTCGGGCCGACACGCCCTGGGTGCCGCGCGGTATCTTTCATCTTTCACCCCGCCTCAGAGTCTCTTCCCAGGTAGTCTTTGAAAGCAGAACTCATGAGAATGCGCTGCGTTTCCCTGCAGGCCTCCTCTTCAGAAGACATGGGCAGGTGGATCGGGATCCTGCTGGCAGAGACAGGGTCCTCCACAGACCCGGGCGCCCTGCACTACGACTACATCGATGTGGAGATGTCCGCCAGCGTCATCCAGACCGCCAAGCAGACCTTCTGGTAAGCAGCCTTCCAGTTTCCCAGACCTGCTGCCCTGGCTTGGTGCAAGTGCCTGGGCTAGATGAACCGGCTCCGAGACCTTCCCTTTTGTATTACTTTAGTCCTTATTTTGTCCAAGTATTTTTTTTATCATTTCGTCCGAGTTTCAGTTAGAGCAGATATTGGCAGACTTGATTAAAGGGCCAGATAGCAAATGTTCGGCCTTATGCACTGAACGTTCCCTCCCCGACCACTCAGCACTGCCACTGACATGGGAGACAACGTTGGAGTGAGTCGTATGATGATAAAACTTTATTTGCAAACCAGCAGGGGCTGGATTTGGCCTGAGGGCTGCCATTTGTCCTTTCCCATAACTTAAACAGCAGAAATGACTCCGAATATCGCCATGGTGATGGCTAAGATTGTGAAGCCACCAGTCCAGTGTTTTATATTCAGTTGTGATTTTAGCACAAGGCCGTCTTGTGCAGCAGCGTTCTTTTGAACCCTAGATGTTTCCTTCCTATCATGACAGACAGCTGCCGCTCTCCGTGCGGTCCACAGACACTGTGGCACGCAAGGCCCTTGATGCTCAGGTGCCTGAGGCAGAGGAGATGGGGCGAGCGGGCTGACAGCTCTGCTTGCGGCTGCCCTGCTTTTCTCGGGGGTCAGTCTCGACTACGTGTCTCTTCGCTGGCTGCAGGGGGCGCACTCCTGCTGCTGAGATGCTCACCTGCGGGCTGCCTTTCAGAGGCCTCTGGTTTTAGTGAGGTGTGGCTGTGCCTGCCTATAATTTCAGCACTAAGGGATGCCGAGGCAGGAGGATCACACATTGGAGTCCACCCCCCGGGATAACTTAGTGAGTCTTATCTCAAAACTAAACTAAGAAGGACTGCAGATCTAGCTGGGGGGTGGGGGAAGCACTGCGTTCCATCCCCAAAACCACAAAGTCAAAAAACTGTGTTATTTTTGCTTTAAAAGACAGTTGGCAGACACACTGGTACAGACTGAGCACTATGGGCATTGTCTTGGTAATGAACTGATTGCAGCTGTCGCCCTAGGAAAACAGCACCTGCAGCTGGGATAGGAATGTGGGGAGTCCGCCTGTACCCCTTCTGGAGCCAGGCAGCTTCCTGGCACATGGGACCCTTGAGACAAGACAGTGGCCCAACCCAGAGCTATCCAGGAGAGATGGCTTGCACCAAAGGACCTGCTCCAGAGGCACCCAAGGGCCTGTCCCAAGGGCTGGGCCAGCGTGGGCCTCGTGGTCAGGACCCGGACAGTCCCATGAGGGTTGGGAGGGAGACATGAGGGGCCTGACATGTCGAGTTTGCGTGTAACAGCAAGAGTACTGCTGCAGACCGAGGCGCCATCAGCGCGGCCGCTCCCTTCCACGTGTCCACCTGTGCGGGCCATGGCTCTGCCTTCACTGCCACTGGAACCATGCGCAGCCCCGACAGGTCCATCATGGGGGAGACATTTTATGGATATATTTATCTTTATGAAAGTAGTTTTTTGTTTTGTTTTTGGCAGAACCACGGATTGAACTCAGGCCCTTGCGCTTGCCAGGGAAGCACTTACTCTACTGAGCCATCTCCCCGGCCCCTTGAAAGTAGAGTTTTCATGAAGATACCTCATTCCTGTTGAAATGGAATGAGCTCACAAGCATTGTCTTAAGCTGGGTAGATTTTCATGGAGGGCAGTGGGTGGGCAGCTGGCAACACCACTGTGCACGAAGGACGGGGTGCGCCTGAGAGACGCTGCAGCTGCTGGGCCTCAGGACAGACAAGGCGCTGTGCACCTGGTTGTGCTACACCACAACTGGGTCACCATTATCAACTGACCTGCATGGCGCACCAGCAACGCCAGCTCCAACCAGCAAAGCTAAGAGGATGCTGAAGAGAAGTGTTTCCCCCAGAACACAATTTGGCTCTTACTCTACAGATTAGTAGACCATTAACCTTAGCCAAGTATGAGAAGGCCACATTTTTTTGAGAAAGAAATGCAGATTGCAGGGCCAGCCTGATAGCACAGTAGACTGTAGCGCCTGCTGAGGCAGAGTGCAGCAGTCAGGGTTTAATCTCCAGATTGCTGTGCTGGCCCCGCCCCCAGGGCGCACTGAGACAGCAATTGAGACTGGGCGTGGTGGCGCATGTCTGTAATCCCAGCGCTTGGGAGGCTGTAAGCGGGAGAATCACTACGAGTCTGATCTACATAGTGAGACCCTGTAGATCCTGCCCTAAATACAGAAAGGAATGAAAGGAAAGGAAAGGAAATGTAGGAAGGAAGGAAGGAAGGAAGGAAGGAAGGAAGGAAGGAAGGAAGGCAGGCAGGCAGGCAGGCAGGCAGGCAGGCAGATTGCGTACGAGCAACCTTGTGCAGTAAAAGACGGAGTTTGCAGCCGCAGGAAGCACCTCTGCCCCATCAAGATCTTTGCAGGAGATGTCAGCCAGCAGTCAAGCTTATTTTTTTCTTTTAGTTTTCTGAGCAGAGACATTCCTATAGAACATAACAGAAGATACTTAACAAAGGAACACATTCAAGATGGGTGACTTGGCGGTGTGCTAAGGTTAAACGAGGTTTCTTGCTTTTTGTAGATTGGCAGCCAGTTAATGAACCCTTTCAAGTTCTTAAGAGGATTTTCCGGGGGATGTTGGGTATTGTATGAGGAAGGAAGGACCACAGCACCTCCTGGGAAGCATGATGCAGCGCCTCCTGGGAAATACAGCCTGTCGAGGGCTCTTGGTGGCGGTAGACAGCAGACACTCGTTTACCTGAGAGCTTATTTTTAGGTGTAACACAGGGAATGCTTAATAGAGGGGAAACCATGCCCCTTGCCCGTGGTGCCCGCAGACCCACGGGGAGCTCAGCCCGGAGCAAGGGAAGGATGGTGCGGTGCCCTCTGCTCACCCCCATCCAGCTGTGGCTTCTGCCTTCAGTCCAATCCCATTTCCACTCTTGAGTCTACTGCAGCTGCGCCGTGGGATGCATCTTGGCACCTGGGCTGGGAACATGGTTCTCCTCACAGGCCTGGCGCCCTCTCTGTCCCGACTGGGGTGCATTGGCCACTGGGGAAGGCGGTCAGGACATTCTGCCTGCGTGTGTCCTGTGTGCCCTCCCCATGAGCCCTGCAGGGGACACTGTAGGTCCCTCAGTGCCTGTCCCTACCCACCGCTATCCAGGCCTCCTGCCTCAGCTGCCTCGGTAAGGTCGGGGACAGTGGCTGTGGAAGGCGTGCACGCACAGTATATCTGAGTTTGCGGTGCACGCAGCTAGGCCCCAGGGCCCGTGGAGACCACTGTGGCTCTCAGCAGCGCATACACAGCCCAGTCACAGCCTGCCTGTCCGTCTGAGGGCAGGCACTCGCCCAGAAAGCTGGAAGGCGCACACTGGGAAGTCCCAAACTTCTGTCATCGCGGAGCTCTCCGTTGTGCTTCCCCATGGCTTCTCTCTGCGCATCTTATCTTCCGGCCTTTGCTGGTCTGTGACTTAAGAGTGGAGTGTGCAGGTCACTTCCCGCCTGCGGTGGGGGACGTGAGAGCCCCAGGAGTCGCCAATGGGCAGAGCTGGCTGTGCTGCGCTCCGCCAGCAGGGTCGGTGGCGCTCTAGGAGCCCAGGATGGCAGCAGGGAGCCACTCTCCGCCGTTCACTCCCGGTAGGGCAGCCCGGCCTCGAAGTTTGCTCTCCTCTTATTCCCCTTTCAGTTTTTCACTTTTTTTTTTATCCTTCTGCTGGCCTTAGAAATGCAGAGCCTGTGAAGAGACAAAACTCGGGTGGGTTTGGGGGGGTCCTTAAAAAACTCCAGGTGATTTTAGTTCCCCACTTTGGCGTCCGCGGAGGTTATTCCTTCCTGGCTGTCTACATTTCTCCTAGAACAGCACCGCCACCTGCAGAGCCAGGCCTGGTCCTCACACCCAGCCTTCAGGGCTGGCATTGTCCAGGCCCCAACGGGACGCCCCGAGGGATAAAGCCACACTCCAAAGTGGGTGCTCTAATGGGGAGAGACCTAGGCTGTGCTGGCAGTCCGCTGGTGTGACCCAGCTGTCCCTTCTCTGAACACACAGCACTCGCACCCTCTCCTGTGTGCCAGGTGTGGGCCCTGCCTGCCCAGGAGACGCCTGGTCCTCCTGCTGGTGCCTCCAGTCTGACCCAGCACCAACACCCGGGTCAGCACCAGGCCCGTAGATGGGGAGGCTCCGTGCCGTGCCCCAGCTCAGGGCCACTAGGGAGTCCAGGCAGTGCCCTGTGCCGTGGCAGAACAGCCACTTACTACATTGGAATCGGGTTGAGCCACTGCCGGGGGCGACAGGAGGAGGAGCAGGGAAGTCTCCAAGCCCTGCCTGGCCGTGCCCCTCCCAGCAGCTCTGTGGGCCCTGTCCAGAGTGCTCATGGTGTGGTGGCTGTGGCACCTGCACCGCCCTGCCTCAGATACCACGCAGTGTCACCGAGGCTTGTGGGCACCTGTGATGGGGCAGTGACAGATGGCCTCTTACTGACCTGCACTGTGTGCAAGAATCCCAAAGGCTCCCTGTGTGCAGTGTCCCGTCCCTGCTGCCCTAAGCGGATGCCTCTTCCCTGGCCCCAGCCTTGCGTCCTCTCTGTCTGGGGCCCCGTGGCAGCCCCGAGCACACCGGCTCCCACAGATGCACCACTGGCCAGAGGAGAGCCGTCAGCTGGTCTTGATTCCTCTTCCTCTTCCTCTCACCCCAGCTTCATGAACAGGCGCGGGGTATCCACCAGCCCATACCTGGGGAGCACTGCCAATGGCTACGCGAACCCCAGTGGCACAGCACTACACTACGATGACGTCCCCTGCATCAATGGTTCGGTGAGTGGCTGCGCGGCTCCTCTTCCGTCCGGATGGGGGTTCTCAGGGTCACTGCATCCCCAGACTTCTGCCACTGACAAACACAGGGCCCGGGGTCCCCCAGAGCCGGTCACTACCCAGCGGTTTCATCAGTCAAACGGGCCGGGGAGATGGCTTAGTGGAATAAGCGCTTCCCTGGCAAGCACAAGGGCCTGAGTTCAAACCCTGGTTAATCATCAGTCCAACATCTCTGCATGCGGTAAGACAAGGGTGAAGGACAGCACGTTCCTCCCCATGGGGGGGGGGCTCTGTCCACGCAGGCTAAGTGCTCCACAGCAAGAGGAGGGCACCTGGTGGTTGCTGCCAGGTGCCATGGGGCAGTGACCACAGTGCCACTCTGGATGGCCTCGTCTCCCGTGGCCCTGCGGTGCTGCCCAAGGAGGTCTGAGCTGTTCCCTAGAGTCCTGCAGTGTGACTCTGGTCTGTGACATCTGCCAGGCTGCAGGAGCCTGGTTTGCTCCTGAGCGCTGCACGGGCCGGCTGAGGTCCTGGCCGTTTCCGAGATTGTCCAGCAGCTGTGCTCTCTCCACACGCCGCCCCATGCCCTCCCAGGCCAGCGTCCTCCTGCTGCCAGCTCAGGTGCCGGGTGCGGAGTCTTCAGGTCGTGTACCTGGCCACAGCAGACTTGTTTGTTTCTTTTGGTGGTCCTGGAGATTGAAGCAGCACTTTTGCACTGAGCTACAGCCCTCATATTTTTTGAGACAGAGCCTCCTTAAATTGCTGAATTACCTGGGTTGGGCTGGAGCGTGCGGTCGTCCTGCCTCAGCCCCTCAGTGCTGGGCTACTGCGGGTTTTAAGATCAAGTCTAGAGGGCCTGTCTGTGGCTGCCTTGCTTCCTGCAGCTTCTCCCTGGTCTCCTCCAGCCTGCTTTCTCCGCGGCATCTCAGAGTCATTGATTCTTACCTATTTAGCTCCCAGATGTTTAAGCCAAGATGCAACTACACACTTCTAATCAAGAAACTTTTTTTGTTTCTGTTTTTTGAGACAAGGACTAGCTATGTAGTTTAAGCTGTCCTTGAACTTACTAAGTAGCCCAGGTTGGCCTGAGACATGGGCAATCCTCCTGCCTCAGCCTCCCCTGTGCCACCACACCTGACACTTCTGTGGGCTTCTGCCACTCTTTCCTGAGTCTTCCATCTGATGCAATCATGGTGGGGTTTGTTTGTTTGTTTGTTTTTTGGTGGTACCAGGGATTGAACTCAGGACCTTGCACTTGCCAGGCAAGCACTATTCCACTGAGCTATCTCCCGGGCCCCATCATTGTTGTTTTAGGAAAATGATAGTGTGGTCCAGAGCATTTTAATATCTCAGGACAAATAGGTTCTAGACGGTCATGGTGGAGCACTCACTTCACGCTTACCTGCATCAGTTTTGGGTGTTGAGATGGTCCCCAGCCCTGCAGGAGGTGGGAAGTGACTGCAGAGCCCCAGTCATCTTTTCTATTTTTGTAACAAAAGCCTGTAATTACTGTCTGGCCTGAGGAAACTGCAAGAATACAAAAATAGGATGGAAGGAGCAGAATGTATAAATTGATGTTTCCTTTTTCAGTGCGAGGCAATTCATAAAGATCTTAAACCTAACAGTGCTGGCAGTGGTGGCCGCATGGGATGGGATTTCTGCTCGGAGGTGACCACGTGTGGGAGGGGTGCTCTCTTAGCCCTTCCTAAATGCCAGTGTCTCCTGTTGGTTTCGAAGTGTCCTCCCTCTGAGCCAAGGTCATTTCCTTTTTAGCAGACTGTGTCTTGCTTGGCTGTGGCACTTGGCTCAGGTCACCGAGTGGAGAACGTGGACCTGTGGCTGGGACCATGACCTGGCACTCTGGCCAGCGTGGGTGGTGTGGAGCAGCCTGTGGGCTCAGTTCTAGTCCTTCAGCCTGGCAGCACAGGCTCAGCAGTGACAGGGTGTGTCCAGCTCTGTCTCCTGCTAACTGGGAGACTGCTGCCTCAGTTTTCCCCACCCCCTAAGAGGTGTCTGAGATTCAGTGTGACAGTGTGTGAAGATCCTCAGACCTTTCCCGGGGCACAGCACGTGCTGTGGGATGCACGGCGGGAGCCTCCCCTGGTCTCAGACACCTCCCCCTGGGACTGAGTCCAGGCCTGCACCCCACAACCATGTCCTCTGTCCAGTACTTTCTGCACCTTGTATTCGGGGACTTCCTGGCTCTGGCTCACTAGAGAAAGATGTTCTGCTTTGAAAACCAGAACAAGGCCAGACTGTCACGTAATAGCTCTGGGAATGATCACAGGAGCACCAGTTTCCGTAGCCCCCAGAGCGAGGCTGTCCCTACTCGCGTGTGGGGAGTGTGTACTGCCCTCATCTCCGTGACCGGCAGGGTCCCAGTGTGAGTGTGCACACTGCTAACCCTGGCTTGCTAACCTGCTCTCTCCCTGTCTGCATGAACGCAGGGCTGTGTGTGGCAGTGGGACGTGGAGGACGGCGGCCAGGGCCGGGGAGAAGAGGTGCTGTACGATAACGCGGGCCTCTACGATAACTTGCCGTCTCCGAAAATCTTTGCTCGCTCCTCTCCTGCTGACAGGAAGGCTTCGCGGCTGTCTGCAGACAAGCTGTCCTCTAACCACTACAAGTCCCCTGCCTCGGGCCTGTTCTGCACTCCGTCTGTCACTAACACCTCTTCTGTGGGGAGGGCGTCTCTCGGGCCCCACTCCCAGGTACAGCACTGCATCCCAGGAGCCAGAGCTGCTGAGATCCCTGCCCACTGCGGCTCTGCAGCTGTGGGGTGTTCGTGGGGTGCAGAAACAGGCAAAGCGTAACTTCTTCCTGGACTAGAAAATCCCAAGGGACAGAGGACACGTTCCTGGCTGGTGCGCAGCTCACAGAAGCACCAGGCTGTCTTTCCACTCTTGGAGAACTCCTACCCTGGCGGGGAGGAGGGGCTGACGTGCCCGGTGGACCGTCTGAGGTGCAGCTATGCCCATCCTGCCCTCTCCAGCCACGCGGCAAATGCTAACTGAGTTTTCCAGAATTTCTAACCTGAGAATTTCTTATGCTTTGCCTGGAGATCTGAGTGCCTCCTGTGAAACCTTCTGCCCACAGCATAAAGCAGTGGGCACACGGCGCGTTTCCCTCCCTCCATGGTAACCTTGGGGCATGGCGGCAAGGCCGAGGCCCTCGAGTCCCGGGCAGTGTGGCCTGCGTAGAGCACACGCGCCCTGCGGCTGTGCGGGGGTCCTGGGCTCCGCTGGCCTCTGATGCTGTTAGGAGAGCCCCTGCCTGAGCCTGGTCATTGTGATTCACTTTCTCACTGGGCACGGTCTGTCCACACGTTCCTCTGTCCGTTGGTAGGAGGCCGGCCCCCGGTAAAGTGTGCTGCGGCCCTTCGGGCTGGCCCCGGGCTGGCGGGGAGGCGCTGGGCGCATGGTCTTCCGTTGGTTTGGTTTTTCTGTTTTCTCATTTCCAAGTGGGAGAGTGCTTCCCTCTCCTCTAAGGCCATTTTATGGGGCCTGCTGAGCAATGGGAACTATGCCCCTCCTGGACACGTGCCATCCGCCACGGGTGCCCATCCCGTGAGCCCACTGGGGCAAGACTGGCCCCCCAGTGTTTCCTTAGATGCCCGGACAGGCTCACACAGCTTTCCTCGCTGATTCTGGGGCTCCTAAAGGTCAGGATGAGAACTCAACAGCACACTGCTCCCTTGCACCCCAGGCCCAGTGGGAGAGTAGGTCAATGTCAGACAGCGCCTGGGGACCAGGGTGACATTGGCATCGATCTCAGCATCCCCAGCACAGGTTCTGAAGGAGTCACTGAGGCCCAGCGCCAGCTCCGAGGGCCTGCAGCAGCCGAGGCAGCAGGAGCACTGCCCTCGCAGCACCAGGGTCCGGAAACCACTCGTTTCCTTCTTCATTCTCTGTCCTGGCTTTGCAAGGTGCTACTTTTTTTCTTTGTACCAGGGATCAAACGCAGGACCTTGTGATTGCCAGGCAGACACTTCTATGTCCCCGGCATAAGGTTCTACTTTTGAGGGACTGAAAGAAATAGTTAGAGGGGAAAGTGGTTTTTTCAGTTTTGTTTTTCATTTTCTACATCTATCCCAACAGCTCAAGGGTAAGAAGCCCCCAGTGGCATCTAATGGGGTGCCTGCAAAGGGGAAGACTCTGAGCAGCCAGCAGAAGAAAGCGGATTCGACGGCCAGCGTGCGGCGGACGGCTTCCAGTGAGTTCCTCACAGGGCCCCCTCCTGGGTCCAAGTATAGAGGTGCAGAGTCCACGCCAGCTGAGCGGCCTGGGAGCAACTGCAGGGTGGGCTCTCTGGGTGTGTGGTCTCCTCCTGCTGAAACAGGACGCACCTCTGCCACGGTGCTGGGAAGGGAAGCAGCGCCCGCTCGGGACACTCTCATGGACACACAGTGTGGAGGAAGTCCCAGCAGGGCAGCTGCAGCACCCCTGGGCTTTGGTCCTGAGACTCGCTGTGTCCCTGAGGTGCTGTGGAGAAGTCACACATACTCCCAGGTGTGCTCACAGCTGGCTCTGCTCTGCAGTGGCTGTGGTGGAGAGCATAGTCAGAGCTGTGGAGAGGCAGGGACATTTGGGATGTTAGTCCTACTGTGTGGTCCTCCGTGGTCCACGGCCAGCCACTGTGACCCGACCCTGGGTAGCTGTGTCATCCGCCACTCTGAACAGTGAGCGGCAGCTGCCCGGTGGCGCTGGCCTTCCCTGGGGTTGCACAGGGCACATCGTGGAGCCAGGGTAGGGACTGGCTTCCCAGCCACAGGGCCAGTGGAAGCAGACAGGCAGAGAGGCTGGGCAACCTCCAAGTGTGAGCACTGTCCCCGCAAATGCCTGCTTCTGGCCTCCTGTCGTTGGGTGTGTGGGTGTGCCAGGGCTCCACCTCACCACAGCTTCCTGTGACTCTTGCCATTGTCGCCTGAGATTCGGACCTCAGCTTGTCCGACCTGCAGCAGGGTTCCTGGTCACCCAGTCCCTGTACTGATGAGGACAAGGCAATCACTTTTATAGCAGCTACCACCCCCTGGAGGAGGGGTCGGGCCACACCCCTGCCCCGCACAGCTCTGTGATGCAGTTTCAGAGGCGGGAGGCAGAGGAAGGCTGTGGGCACAGGAGGCCAGTTCTGCCTTGCAGTGATGAGCTGCCTCTGTCACAGAGCCCCGTGTGCCCCAGGAACCTATCCACACCTCTGTTGGCCCAGACCACGCTGCCATGGACAGGGAAGGCCAGGCTCGCCATCCTCGTGTGGGTGTGATGTGTGGACTGGTATGGCCCTGTCTCTCCAGTGCATTTCAGCTCCCCAACATTCTTGGGTGTGTTTGGGATCAAGGTTTATAGTGTGCTTGGGAGAGGCACCGATGTAGGAGGGACGCACCGCCTCGAGCTTTGCTCAGCAAGCTCCGGGTCACGTGAGATCTCTTTCAACTCACGCTCCTCCTAGGACTGATGCATAGTTCAGTTCCTAGGCAATTTATGCTTTATTTTGTGACATCTTGTATGGGGAAGAAAGGCAGCAAGTAGTTGCACCGTGTGTTGTTGCCAGCACATTCAGCCCATCTCTTTGCAGACTGCAAAGAGTGATGGTGCAGGGACCAGAAGGTGGGGACACTTGGAGGTTACTGTCTGTAACCCTATTCAGGACGTGGTGGTATGGACACCAGCAGCAGCACAGCCTGAACTTGGTCTTTCTGTGTGTGTGTGGCGGGGGTGGGGGTGTTGAACACAGGGTTCTGTGCTTGCCAGGCAAGCACTTATTCTACTGAGCTATCTCCCTGGCCTGAACTTGGTCTTTTTGTACAATGTACCGTCACCTTGGCTGCAAGGGCAGCGGTGTGGATCAGTGACTGAGTGGCGTGATCAGGCTGCCGTCCCTCTCATGCTAACCTGATGTTCCTGGAGAGTCCTGACTGTCCCTTGCAGCTCTGGGGCTGTGTTATGTAGCCACCGCTGCAGGGACTTGTGGGCAGCTCTGGCCTCTGCTCTGGAGACCGGAAGCTGAAGTGGGGAGATGGAGGCTCATCAGGATCTCTAGTGGAAAGGGGAGGTGTCTGGTGACAGCCAGCAGGGCACCCACAACTTCTGTGTGGTGTATTCTGGCCTAGGAAGTGGCAGACCCTGGAGGTGGGGTCACAGAGGCTTGGTGGCTGCTGTGAGCAGCGCCTGAAGCAATTGAAGCTTCGCACCTGAGACCCTTGGCCTCTCTGTTGGAAGCTACATCTCTTCAGTGCATTTTTCCAAAGAGGCTTTTCCTAAGCCACCATTGCAAAAGGCCAGCACAGGAAGAGACAGCATGTGGCCAGCACCATGTGGACAGAGTGACGCCAGCCAGCCCAGCTGTCCCCTACTCTTGCTCCTTTGCTCTTTCCTCACTGTTTCATAAACTCTGACACAGGGCTCTTGGGGCTGTGTGCTGGCCAGCCCAGCCGCACCACAGCCCTGTGAGCTCCCTGCCGCCACCGCTCTCTCTTCACAGACACCCGAGACACTCTTCAGGGTGACACAGCTCCACGTGGCACGCTGGGCCCCTGCGCACCATGAGCAGCCTCTTCACCTGCTCATGGCTGCCACAGGCGCAGAGTGGACAGTGCTAAGGTGGGGTCTGGGACACAGAGCTAGAGTGCAGCCGTCGTCCTGACAGACTCCCAAGCCTCATGCTTGCTGCAGATGGGTGATGAGTTCCTCACAGGCTTGAGGGTTAAAGGATACCAGGACGCCATTTCCCTGCACCCGTTTGCTCCTGAGAGCCTGGGGGCATTGGGATGGCCACCATTTCCTTGTTGTGCTGTGCTTGGCAGGGCCGTTGGCACTGTGGGCTCTGAGCTGTGCCCGCCGCCCTCACCGAACAGCCTGTGCTTCTCCCTCAGATGCCGACCAGTACAAATACGGCAAGAACCGGGTGGAGGCAGACGCCAAGCGGCTGCAGACCAAGGAGGACGAGCTGCTGCAGAAGAAGGAGACTCTGCGGAACAGGCTGGCGCAGCTGCGGAAGGAGAGGAGAGACCTGCGGGCGGCCATCGAAGTGAACGCAGGTAGGAAGGGCTCCGGCGGCCCTGCATCCCTGGCCTGCTCCTCCCACGAGGTCAGCAGCCACACCGTGGTGTGGCAGGAGGGCGGTGTTCTGGGTTACCCAGACTCAAGCTCAGGTATACATAACAGGGGGCCAGGAGGGCGAGGCCTACGTCCCTGGGCCTTGGTAGGTCCAGGTCCTATGCAGGCCTTGAGTGAGTGAGAAGCCTGCACCTGGCCCAAGAGGCCTGCAGCGAGAGCCTCAGGCCCAGGCCCAAGTCCCTTCCCAGCTCGGCACAGCGGGGCCAGGCTCGGCATAGGCTGGGACTGGGGATGCCAAGGTGCTGCCTGAGGCTCCAGCACTGCTCCGCTCACAGGCAGGAAGACCCAGGTGGTGCTGGAGGAGAAACTGAGGAAGCTGGAGGAGGAGTGCAAGCAGCGGGAGGCAGAGCGTGTGAGCCTGGAGCTGGAGCTCACCGAGGTCAAGGAGAGCCTGAAGAAGGCCCTGGCTGGTGGCGTCACCCTTGGGCTGGCCATTGAGCCCAAGTCAGGGACCTCGAGCCCGCAGGTGAGTGGCCCGGCGGCGTGCACAGAGGCTGCCCAAGAGCGCGAGGCTTGGGCGCGGGGGCAGCGCAGTGAGCTCCAGGCCTGCAGGACCCAGCCCTGCTGCCGCGCTTCTGTGTCACAAGCCGGAGAGACCGAGGCATGCGGCACAGAACACCCACAGCCTGTGTCCCAGAGCCCTTGGTTTGGGTCTGTGACAGTGGGGCCACGCCGAGGCCCAGGGCCCCTCCTCCGACGTCCTTGCGGCCCCAGCCCCTCAGCTTTCTCCCTCCCATTGGTCTTGGCTCCCTCTATCCTGAGCATATCCTGCCTTGGCCTGTGCCCCGTCCTCTCCAGATAATGCTGGGGACCTGCACGGCTCCCTGTCCTTCCCCATAGACCCAGGGACAGTGGGCTTTTCTGTCAATGTGCGGGCCACCCACTCCCAGCCCACCTCAGAGTCTGCCCCAGCAGGCACTTCCAGCTTTCCTCTCTCAGACTACAGGAGCCTTTTTTTGTTTTTACTTTTGTCTTTTTGAGACAGGGTCTCACTATGCAGCTCAGGCTGGCCTGGAGCTCACTTTATAGTCCAGGCTGGTCTTGAACTCACAATGATCCTCCTGCCTCAGTCTCCCAAGTGCTGAGATTATAGGAGTGCACCACCATGCCCGCTCTAGCAGCCTTTTGCATGGCTTCTGATGGCTCCTCCTGCAGTGGCCTCAAGCTCACGGGTCCCTGTCCCCTGGCCCGTCTCTGCCTCCTGCTCACTGCACACCCTTCTGGTCCCAGGTGCCCACTGCACTACAACAGTGTTTTTTTTTTTTTTTTTTTTTTGCGGAACCGGGGATTGAACTCAGGCTCTTGCGCTTGCCAAGGAAGCACTTATTCCGCTGAGCCATCTCCCCGGCCCTGCACTACAGCAGTGTTCTGAGCCCCTGGCCTGGGTTGCTGTGTTGGCTTTGCAGCCTCCTGACCTCTGTGGCCTCTCTGTGGACACAGTCACTGTCCTCTGCTGGATGCTGGTGGCAGAGCATGTCCTCAGGAGAACGGCCTGCTGGTGGACCTTCTGCAGTGCCAGTGGCGTGCTGGGGGGTCTGTGCCATCATCTGTCCCTGTCACCGATGTAGCGCTGCTCCCCCATCTGCCCTGGACTGGGAGCAACTCCTAAGAAAGCTTGATTTGAGCTGAGAGCCATGCTTGAAATGCTCGGGTGCCCCACGGAGGACAGGAGACCCAGCGGGCCGTGGGGCATGTTCTCCTGGAAGGACATCCCAGACACCCCACGAGCGTCACTCCTCTCTGCCGGGGCAGCATTGCTGCGAGGGCTCAGTCCTTGGAGACTCCAGTGGGAAGCCTGGAGGCTGCCAGGACAGTGTCGCAGAGGCTCTGATCCTGCAGAAGGCATGGAAGGGCTGTGACAGCCAGGAGCACAGGCTGCTCTTCTCCAAGCCCTGGAGGAGCCCCTCCCAGCATGTGCCCCGGGGACTGCAGATGCCAGGTACCCTTGTGTCGGTGACCAGGTCCCTGAGCTGACATAGAATACATTAGTCAAGTTGCCTGCCGCTGGGACAGAAGGCCAAGCCCACGAGGAGGAGCGATTCAGCCTGGCTCGCCCTACAGAGGGTTCAGGCTGAGGTCCTTGGCTGGCTCCAAGGCAAAAGCAGCATGGGGGAGGGAGGGCAGAGGGAAGCTCTTATGTCCAGCATGCAGGACACAGAGAGAGAAAGGAGGAGCTGGAGACAAGAATGTGCCCTTTGGGGTTCTCCCAGGGCCCAGGACCCCAGCCAGGCCCCACCTCCTGCAGCGCAGCCAACCTGAGCTCATGCATGGCCAAGTCCGCCGACACCCCATGCTCTTGTCATCTTCTAAAGCCCCACCCTGAACACAGGAGACATTGGGACATTCTAGATCTACACATAACACAGACCAGGCCTGTCCAGGGTGGGGCTCTGTGCAGGGAGGCAGGGCAAGGCGGCTCCTGCCCTGCACCTCGAGGCAGGCCTGACAGCAGGCACGATGAAGGTGCGCATGGAGGATTCAGCGCCAGCCCTGCATTAGCCCTTACGGCTTGTTTTGGCCAGTTCCCAAATCCGTTCCCTGACCAAGCTAGGCCCTCTGCCAGCCAGGCCCAGGTTCGAAGCCACTGCTCATGCAGAGTTGCCTCTGTCACCCGCAGTCCCCTGTGTTCCGGCATCGGACTCTGGAGAACTCCCCAGTCTCCAGCTGTGACACGAGTGACGCTGAGGGGCCCCTGCCTGTGAACAGTGCTGCTGTCCTGAGGAAGAGCCCTCCAGCCACAGGCAGCTCGCCCTGCCGGGGCCATGTGCTTCGGAAGGCCAAGGTGGGTCCTGGTCCTGGCTAGGGTGTGTCCTGTGCTGCTGTGGAGAATCCTCACTGGGTTCCCCCTGTATCAGAACATTTTTTAGGACTTAGGTTCCAAGGGCCAAAGAGGCCAGGTCCCTGCAGTGCTAGCTTCGGCCTGGGCCTCTTGACTCTCAGGGCTGGTTCTCCTGGCAGAGTGGACACTGGGCTAAGTGGCCCTTTGCACTGCTTTTGTGCTGTGATTCTTCGAGACTGAGAAAAGATGAGGAATGCGCTTCTCTCTCTCCTCACCCCACCCCTGTGCCAGGCCCCCATATCTGACCCTATGATAACCCCAGGGATGTTATCTGATACCTGCCAACTCTACTCTTGGATGCCTCCCTGTCTTGGTCACCACCAGAAGTCCTTGATACCAAACCAAGACATCTCAGGCCTGTTGGCCACATGAGCTCAGCTTCTCTGAGCAGGCAGTTCTTGGCTGGGCCACCAACAGCCAGCTGCAGGGTGACATAGCTTAGGAGGGTGGTTGCCAATATAGAAGACCTGGAAGCCTGAGGGTAGCCATCTGGCCCTAGATGGGATTGTGGGCTTGAGCAGATTTCTGGAAACAGGGACAGGGAAGTGGCATGTGACCCTGAGCCATCAGCATGCTGCAGGCCCATCAGACTCGGCTCCTGTTGGGCTCCTGGGGCAAGTTTAGCTTTGTCTCTGTTTGGGCGGGATGAATACTGGAGGTGGGGCTGCTAGGCCCCAGTGCTCGGTCTTGGGGCTGCCCGTCCTACCTTCCACGGAGGCCGAGTGCCACCCTTCCTGCTCTCTCACACTTGAGTCGTGGCGCTGCGTGCCTGCCAGGGTCTGCCCTTGGGATTCACACAGCTCTCCTTTTCCCAGGAGTGGGAACTGAAGAATGGGACATAGGGAGGAGGCAGCCCCAGCCCCGGCCCCAGGCCGAGGCTGCACCCCGCCAGTCCTCATCTGCGACACGGTGCTCCCCTGAGTGGCCTGCTCGGGACATCTGAAGTTCTGCACCCGAGTGCTGCCACCTTCGCCCACCCACCAGCGTGTCCTCCTACTGTAGAACGGTGCCCTTTGGAGAAGTTTACTTGTAAGACTTTAGCTTCTGATTTTTCTTGTTAAATAAAGTAGAAAAGAGAAAGAGACGAGGAGCTATCGTGCAAGGTTCCTACGGCTGACAAGCTGTGTCTCTCCAGCCAGCTGAAGGACTGCTTCGCCCAGGTCCTGCCTGCCCCAGCAGCAGATCCCGGCTGGGTGGGCGGACGGGCCCTGGACCCCAGATGAGCCTGGCCACTGCCCACAGCTCCCCAGGGTCCCAGCCATCTCGAGGTTGGGGTTCTGTGGCCGTGGTGGCGTCATCGTGCGCAGTGTGCCCAGGCCCCTCAGGATCAGCAGTGAAGGCGGAAGGACCTCGTGCTGCCAAGCGGTCGTACCTTCCAGGTTGCTTTCTTTCGGACAGATGCTTTTGCCTCCAGAACATGAAAAGGTGCCATTGTTCTTTAGGAAGTGTCTTCTTGCCGTGTGTCTCGCCTAGCGCTAGAGTCTTCAGATACCCGTGCTGCTTGTGACAGTGTCGGGGGTTATTTTGTGCAGCATGGCTGGAGTAGGCCTGGAACAGCAGGCAGGATCTAAGCTCGCAGGTTGGGGACCCTCAGAACCTGGAGCCAGAGCCAACGCTGCTTGGACACTGAGATGTGGACATACGGTGCGCCGGCCTGGCCCTGCTGCGCCGTGCCCCGCTGCCCCCCGAGCAGTATTCCTGCAGAGTTCAGATGAGGAGAGCGAGACCGAGAGCACCAGTCGGCAGTTTCTGCTTGGGTCCGCAGGAAACGGAGTTCTGGGTCCCTGAAGGTGCTGCCAGGGAAGATACAGCCTTGTCGCAGAAGAGACAGCACCAGACCCACAGTGCGCTGGCTCAGGCCTGCTCCTGAGCCAGGCTGCGTGGAGCCCGACCCTCACCCTAGCCCCAAGTGCTTTTGGATAGCACAAAGCATCTTCTGCCCTGTGCATAGGCCTGGGGGCTGGGGTCCTTTCTCTACGTCACACCGGGTACCCAAGGGGCTGTTTGATCCCTTCAGGAGTAGGACGGTCATGTGGGACATGAGAGAGGCTCCCCACAGGGAAACTAGCTCCTGCTGCCCTGGTCCTCTGGAGCTTGAATGTACTGAGAAGCCATCTGCCCCAGTGTTTCAGGGTCGCCAGGCCCTTGGCCTGAAGCTGCACCCAGTCACGCCAGCACTCACCACTCCCTCCAGGGATGGTATCTCACAGGAAGCTGTAGCACTTCATTCCATAAGAAAACTACATTTTTTTTATAAAGAGAAGAAATTCATACACCAGCAATTTTTGCTATCTTTGAATCTAATAAAATTCTCAAATCCAGGCTTGCGGGCCAGTCTGACCAGCAGCCATGGATCAAGGGCTGCAGAGGCACCAGCCTCGGCCCTGCAGCGGGTCCATAGCAGAAGTGGCCGTGGGCAGCACCGCCTCTGAACCTGTGTGCCCACAGAGCCTGGGGCTTCAGAAGGGGCCTCACCCTGGGACACCACTGTGGGGCTGAGGCTGCTCTAGCCCAGGCCCTTGCATAGGATGAGCTTTGTCATTCATTCTTGTTACCCAAAGTTTTTGAAGGAGGCAGCAGGGTAGAGTGAACCCTGCAGGTTCCTGGGACATCTACAGTGGGGACCGCAAGCGCCCAACACAGGTCCTGGGCCCTGTGGGCCCTGGTGTCCCAGATTTGACCAGAAAGTCAGTTTAAAGCATTTGTTTCAAAGTAAGTTATTTATTTGTATATGTCCCGTAAGTATAGCTTTAATTTATACCTGTACATATTAGACACACAGATGTCCTAGCCTGTTCTGAGGGGGTCTCACTCCATCACCCTTTCAAAGCACGTCCCAGCAGTGACCCAGCCTGGAATAGCCCAGGAACCCCAAAGCTAGGGCCAGGTAGCAGAGAGCTGGCTGCCCTGGGCCCAGGGTCGTTGAAGTGTCACCTAGCACCTTTTGAGGTTGCAGAGTGTGGTCCCAAGGGAGGAGGCCACCCAGCAGGACGCGGGCCCAGCAGAGTTCAGGGAGGCCCCAGTCTAGGGCCTCCGTCCTTCTTGCCATGGGGAGGCCGCTGTGCTGCTCCCTGGACTCCCTGGCTGCAGCTGGGTGCAAGGTCACCCCGGCAGAGCCCCTCCACTGTGTTCTCTGTTGTTTGCAGTCCAGGCACAGAGATGGCCATGCCGGCCACAGGGCTCACTCTTACCCACAGCGGCACAAGTGCTGGCCTTACTGTCCCCCACCTCAAGAGGCAGCCCCATGCAGATGACCAGGTCCCTGGACAGCCATCCAGGCCCTTCCGGAGCCTTCCTGGACTCAGGCGCCAGCTCCCTGCCCACCCCCAGGCTGCCTGGCCCTGCCCACCGCAGTCGCCTCCCTGCCCACGTTTTCCCTTTCTGAATGACCGTGCCTCCCTGCATGGCGGGCCCACCACTCTGAGGTCGGCACGAAGCCCTGTTCAGGGCCTGCCCCAGCGCAGGGGCAGTGCTGCGCGTCATTACCACAGGATGGCCAGGGCTCCCCTACAGCCTAGTACACGCCCTGCCAGCAGACGGGATGTCCCCGAGTTCCTAAGGTGCCGGCGACCCTAGCGTGCAAACAATTGTCTGCCTAGTTCTCCCCTGTAGTAACTCTGACAGGAAAAATCATTCCAAATGCATGACATGACTAATGTCAGGGGCCTGCGTCAGCCCCGCAGGGGGCCAGGTTCCTACTGCAAAACAGCTGTGTGTGAAAGACAAGGTGTGCGTGCCGCGTGGCCCTGGCGCAGCCCGGGGGACCGGGGGACAGGGCGAGGCCGGGCGCACACCCTCTGGCCCAGCCCTCCCGCCTCCTCTGCTGCAGCCGGCAGCCACAGCTGCCCGAGACGACCCTGGCCAGGCACAGCCTGCCATGTTCTAGGAGCTGCGTGGAAGAGTCCCCCAGGCCCTGCAAATCGAGGCTCCTCGCACCAGGGGTGTTTTAATCAGGTCGTCTTTTTAACTGATTTCCTAATGAGAAAGGAAATCCTTGCCTTGCATTTTAACATCAACTTTGACATTACAGACCTCCAGGATTAATTGACTGTGGCCGTGCGTCGTGACACTTCCGTATCAAGAATGTAATTATTGCCTTATTGTATTTTTTAAAAAGTAAAGTCATATTTAAAAACTCTTGCAAAAAAAAAAAAAAACAGGCAAAGAAACAGGAAAGTTTTTTTTTTTTTTAATTAAATATGTTGTCCGTGCCCACTTGAGGTGACTGTAAATATGTCTTCACTGTGTCTCTCTGTATTGAAGTCATTAAGTAAAAAACAAACAAGAAACTCGCCGTGGGGGGTCCCAGTTTCCAGCACTGACCCCATTCTGTACTAGCTGCACTTGAATTCTCCGCTTTACGGACTGAGTTTCCCACTGTTTCCCGTGGTGTAGCCCTGGACCAGCGCCGTGTGGCGCGGCGCACGTGTGTACTGTTAATAAAATGCTCTGACCGGGCCCAGTGTCCTGCTGCCCTGGCTTGCCCTGCGCGTGGGGCTCGCAGTCACAGGTGTGTGTGCGTGTGCGTGCGTGTTGGAGGTCACGGGGGCCGTCGTGCAGGGGCAATGATGGTTTGGGGGATGTTTAGTCTGCAGACCCAAATATGCAACTCTAGAAACCCCTGCGCACCGGCAGGAAGGCAGCTACAGACAGGTCGCGGGTGGGAAGCCCCAAAAAGTGACTTTTGCCGTGGTGGGGGTGGGGGGAGCTAGTGTTGAGGGTTTGCAGCAGGGTGGGATTATTTGAACCAGGTGGTGAAGTTTAAGAAAGTGTTCAATAAGGCAAGAGGAGGGGAAGATGCTCCAGCACAAGGAAGTGGGCAGAGCAGCGGGGTTGGGGGGGCATGAGCTGCTTGGGCAAAGGCGGGGACCAGGTGCAGCTGGAAATGGGGCACCCGGAGCAGAAGGGAAGTGGGCGAGTTAAGGACAGACTGGAGGGGGGCACCAAACACCCTGTAGGTGATACGCTGGCCAGATGATTGGTGGAGGTGTACTGGAGAACAGTGAGGGAACCCCCCTGGATCCCAGAAGTAACCCTGCTTGAGCTACGCCGACGGCCTGGGAGCAGCAGGGCAGGTGCTGGGCCCTGGAGGCGGCGGGAGTGTGGCGACAAGACAGGCGAAGAGTGCAGTCTGGGTGCTGCGCTCGAAGGCTGTGTTGGGGGGACTGGGCAGAGGTCCTCCGTCATGACAGGAGGAGGTACAGCCCGGAGGCCCTGGGGTGCTGCTGGTGACACCTTCCAAAGCCGAATGGTGGGACTGTGACACCCATCCTCATTAACACGCTGTCCCGTGGCTGCTCAGAGACCAATGCGCTTGTGCAGTGGGGTGGCCAGCTGAGGAGAAGGAGGCAGCAGAGACACGCTAGGGCCCAGCACGCCACAGGCAGGGACACCAACGGCCAGGTAGCCTGGACTCTGGCTTTCTCCTCCATGCGGGAAGCATACCAAGCGACCAGAACACAAGACCACGCCCCTCTGCCCCATCATTCTAGCCCTGGTGTCTGTACCCATGTCCTGCTCGTGACCTCACGTTGCCAGCCCAGCACCAACATGGCCTCCACTGCCCAGACCCTGGGCACCTGGCACCAGGCGGGGTCAGAACCGTGCTGGGCCTGATGTGGCTGCCGCCCAGCGGCCTAGTCTGGAGCCTCCTTCACAGTCGGCTTCTGCCCAGGGCTAGCCAGGGCCAGAGCTCTGGGTCATGCACAGGTCCCAGCCCAGTGCCCATCCAGACCCCGTACAAGGACAAAGGCTCCTGGGCCTGGCTCTGTTCTAAGGTTTTGAAGTTGCACACCAGATTGTACCTCAGGGCCGTGTATCCTGGCAGCAAGCGGAAGGTGTGTGTGTGCGTGCGTGTGATCGTGTGTGCAGCATCACTGCCCCTGCCTCCCTGATCTCTTCCATTCCCATACTCTTTGGTGACTGCCTTGAGGGGTTCCCCAGGGTCCCCTGCATGGTGATTCTGGGCAGGAAATGCAGGGGCATGTGGTTAGGAGATGCAGGAGAGACCTTCAGGAGAAGCAAGAGCTGATCCTGTTCTTTTAATCTTTGTTAAAAGCATCACAAATGATTTATTGGTTTTTATAAAGGGAAAAAATAAGAAAGAATGCATGGCCTCTGTTATGTGCATAAACCACGTGTGGGACCCATCCAGCTGGGGGACACCCTGGACACCCACCACCACCTTCAGTCCCTGCACCTGTCTTGGTGCCCGAGACGAGTCTGTGCCTCAAGCCCATGAACCTTTGTGACCAGCTGGGGGCGGCAGACATCAGTAGCGATCACCTCTATGGTTATAGAGATGGGGCAACAGGGTTATGTCGGGTGACATCTCTTTCCCGGGGTCCTGGGGCCACGCACCCAAGATGGTCTCAACAAAAGTAATAACACAAAATACAAGGAAAACACAAATAACTAAGGGAGGCCCTGACACAGCTGAGAAAGTATAACTGAGCGGCCGGAAGGCCCAGGCCTGTGCTGGCCCTGTAGGCACCAGGAGCTCGGCCGCGCCATGTCGGCTGAACCAGGACTGTGCTCAGGGAGGCCCACACTCAAGCAGGACAGGTGAGTGGCCAGCAGGAGGCAGGTCCCTGTGTAGGTATCCAGCAAGAGGTGGGCGGGCCACAGCAAAAGTGTTAGGGGCCACAGCCTCTGCCACTCTGGGCCCGCCCCCAGTCCCTCCCCACAGGGGAAGCATGCAGGGCATGGGGTCCAGGGCAGGCAGCAGTGGGAGAGGTGTTGGTGAGGCCAGGCTGGGTGCCCTCTGTCCCTGAGTCCCGTCTGTGACCTGGCCTGGATGCTGGTTGCCACCCACAAGGCAAAGATGGTGTGCCCGAGCATTGCCTGGTGTGAGAGCCCGCCAGGCACCCCTAGCAGGCCACTCCTCTTCCTCGGGAAGATGGCGCCAGCCCTGTCCCAGCCTGGGTCCTGGCTCCAGGAAAGCCTGGGCTGGAGGGGGAGGGAAAGGAGAATGAGGAGGAGCAGGGGCCGCTGGCTCCCTTCCAAGGCAAAAGGTGAAGGCCTGCTGTCTGTGTCGCTGCCTGGCAGCATGGACAGCAGAAGCCGCCCTGCCTCAGGGCAGAGGCCCGGTTGTGGGGCCACCCTTGCTGCCATCTTGCGGTGACCTCTCCCCTCTTTGCCAAGAGCAGCCTGCCCCTGGGGGCTGCCCTCTCTGCCCCCATTCTGGCTGGTTCTGCAGGGCCCCACTGCGAGCTGCGCAGAGAACTGGATGCATTGGGCAGCACTGAGCCCTTTCTGGGGGCAGGGCAGCCAGGCTTCGGGAGGGCACTGCCTACTTGCGGGAGCAGGAACTGCAGGCAGGGGTCCCTGAGGCCCCCACACCCCAGGGACAACCAGAGTGAACCCCAGGAGTGACGGCTGAGGGCTCTGGAAAGGGGGTTCCCAAGAACGTGGCCGCCAGAGTCACCTAGATGGTGACAGTGTGGTGACAAAGGAAGCCCCAGCGAGTGTAGCCACCAGAGAGAAGTGACATCATCTGTGGTTTACAGAGGGACAGAGGCGGGAAGGCGTGGACACGGCCCAGCCCACGGGCTGCAGGGGCTCCGGGGCGCCCTCTGCAGGGGCAAGTGGAAGGGGTCAGGGCAGCTGTGTGAGGGCCGGTGCCCGGATGCCTGCGGGCGGGGAGGGGGCCCCGGGCTCCTGTGGGCTGGGGGTCGGCTCCTGAGCCTCCGTGGGCGTGGGCTGAACAGGGAGGAGGCGCGTCCCCTGGGGGCGGCTGGCGGAGGTGGCCTCTGGTCAGGTCTCCGGACGTCGCTCCGGCACAGGAGCGCTCTGCGCTGGGAGGGCAGCGGGAGGCGGGCAGGGGCAGCGCATCAGCTCACCAGGTAGCCGTGCATCTCTCGGGAGTTGATGCTCAGGACCACGCCCGAGTGGTTGCCTAGGAACAGAAGAGACGCTGCAGTGAGGGGGGGGGGGACTGGGGACCGCGCGGGGACCAAGCACCATGAGCTGTAGCATTAGTGTCCACCCGTGGTTCCTGCAGCCTGTGCTGTGCGGCCGTGAGGTCCCCACGTTTCCCCAGGTGACTGAAGCGGGGCGTGCCCAGTGTCCACAAGCAGTGCACCCGAAAGAAGGCTGACGGGTGGGGCCGCACCACTGACCTGGCCGGGGCAGCAAGGGGATGTGGGAGGGGCTGAGGCTCCGCCCCCTCCTGGCAGGGGCTGCTGCGGGGAGAAAGGATGGCAGGGGACCTTCATGGACTGGTCGCTCGCGTGGCCTGGCAGGGCAGCGTGGGGATCCTAGGGGCTGGGGACTGATCTGCTATGAGGAATGGTCCCCACTCTAGTTGTGGGACAGTGCCTGAGTGCCTGGCACTGCCAAGGCTGCGATGGCTGGGTCCACACAGGAGCCAACAAGACTCTCACCACACTGGACCCAGGGCCATCGTCTGGGACAGCAGGGTCACTGTGGTAGACCCTGGGGAGGACAGTCATGGGTGATGCCTGGTACACACGAAGGTGGTTAGGATATTATTAGGCTCTTGTTATTTTAGGAACTTAAAAGCCAGGCTCCTGTTTTCCTGGGACCCCATGGCCCTCCCTGGCAGGGCTGCAACCTTTCCTGCAGGAGGCTGGAGGACAATGCAGGGGGCAAGCCTGCCTCTGTCTGGGCGCAGCAACCAGAGGGTTTCTGAGTTGTCTGGGATACTTGGAGGCCTGCACGGGGTACACACAGACCAAGCCCCAGCTTCCCATCTGAGAAATGGGCACAGCGCCTGAGCCTGCCTCTGGGGGTTGATTATGGCCAGGAGTGTCAGCCTGGGGCCAGCAAATTGCAGTTGTCTGGGGCCAGCAAATTGCAGTTGTCCCCAGCTCCAGCACTGGGCTGGCAGGAGGGCCACGGACCCCAGCGTGGCTGGGGTGGATGGTGGGGCACAGACACACAGGTGAGTACTCCTACAGCACTCGGGAGAGCTGGAGGACCCACACTTGGGGTCAGCCTGACCCAGCCAGGACTCAAGCTCAATGGAGAGCTGGGAGGCACTAGGTGAGGGACAGGTGCCTTTGTGGGCCTCAGTGTCCTCAACGTGGCAGGAGAGGCCCTGCGGAGCAGGTGTGGCTTTTAAAGTGGAGTCGTGGTAACAGCGACAGCCGGTCCTGAGGGTCGGGTCCTGTGCTCTGCCCTGGACACTGGGCCTGGACACCCTTGTGGTCACTGTGGTAGTGGGTGCTGTCACTGGGGTCAGTGCATGGACAGGCCATGCAGAGAGCAGGAGGCGGGCGAATCGGGCTGGGGTAGGCGGCCTGCTGGGACCCTCGCCTATGCCTCTGGGTCCTCCTGGGGCTGTGACCTAATGCATCCAACCCTGATTGCGCAGCAGCTGAGCGGGCGCGCTCGCCCAGGGCGCTCCAGCCTCGGCCCTGGCCCCAGTTCTCCCACTTGGGAGGCCAAGGTGTGGTGCTGCCAGTTCTGGACGCCATTGCGCCCCTCGCCTCAGGGCTGGAATTCTGGGGCTGCCTCAGTCCACCAACATGACTTGGCTTCAGGCCCTGAACTGGGTCCTCTGCGGCTGACTCCTCAGCTGCTTGGAGCTCCCTGGCCGAGCCATGGGGGACCCGAGCCATAGAGGCCAGATACAGGCTTCGGGGACAGCAGGGCCAAGGCCATTCCTCTGCTGACTGCCAGACACTGAGGCTCCGGGCCAGCTGTGGGCTAGTGTAGATGATGCTGTTCTGCCATGGATGGAAGCAGACAAGGAGGCCAAAAGGGTGAGTGACACTGCTGAGTGATCTGACTGGCACTGCCCCCCCCCAGGCACGGCCAGGAGGGCCCCCTGTGGAGGCCTCTGCAGGGCCGAGTGGGCCTGGCCAGCACCCCAGCTCCCACCTGTCTGGGGCTCCAGCCCTGTGGGCTGAGGCCCTGTGCACTCACCCTGCATGGCACCCGGCGTGTCCTCGCTGTGACTGACGGGGCTCGTCATCTCCTGCTCCTTCTCATTGTGCATCTGCGCGTACACCGTCCTGCCCGGGCGTTTCCTGCAGGGCAGAGGGCCTCAGCCTGGGGCCGCAGCCAGGCCTGCTCTCTCACCCTCCATGCTGCCTGACCCTGGAGTCCACAGCCTCCTCTATCTCCCACCACTTGGCAGCTTGGGGACAGTGACCTGGGTACCTCAGAAGGGCTCAGGGTTCTAAGGGTCCTGGCAGACAGCTGCAGCAGCGCTGCCCTGGGCACCTGTGCTTCCCTTCCTCCTCCCTGTCCTCTCCCTAGCCCCTCTTGGGCCCCTTTCACAGATGACAACACCGAGGCTCAGGGATGGGCGGGCATGCCCCCTGCAGGACCTGCACCCAGTGGTTGTGTGGATCCACAAAGGCAAGGACACAGGAGCCTAGGAACGAAGGGTGCTGGAGGTCCCCACCCCTGAGGGCTCCCATTCTGTGACGCAGGAGTCCAGGAGTTTTATGGGGTCCGAGGCCCACCAGCCTCCTTGGGGTGGGGTGCAGCTCTGGCTCCCCCAGCTGGCGAAGTAGACTCAGGACCAGAGGCCAGGGCTTGATGTCCCCACTCACGCAATGGCTGTGCCGAGTGGGGAGGAGCTGGTGGGAGGGGGGATCTGGCTGGGCACTTGGTGGGAGCTCTCCTTCACTCAGAAGGGGCTCTGTGGGGTGGTTTGACTTTGACGTGCCTACAGGACACCCATGTGGGCCTGTCAGAAAGCCAGGGCCTCCCTGAGTTTGGAAATCAAAACAGTCCCCAACCTGGATCCTGCTGCAGCCCCTCTGTGCTGCCAACTCATACACACTCTTCAGAATCCCACTAAGGAGCCCTCTCCTCAGAGACATGCTCGTGGGTACAGCCGAGTCAGCACTGCGTCCCAGGGGCGGGGCCAGTGTCTGACATGGTGGGCACAAGCAAGAGGACGAGGGGAGGGAGACAGCTGCCAGGCCTGGGCAGGGGGTCTAGGAGGTGTGTCCTGGGCTCAGGCATGAAGAAAAGGGTGGCTGGACTCCTCAGTGGTCCCCCAGGGCACCTGGGTGGAGTGATCCATAGAGGTCCTAGAGGTGGCTCAGCAGGAGGGGCAACAGGGTCAGCAGGAACCCCATCCTGTGTCCAGGGTCCAGCCAAGGTCACTGTGACCTCAGGGGTCCCAGCCCCAGCAGGCATCCCAGTTGGTGTCCTACTGCCCACTGGGCACGCAGCCCCTGCAGGAGGAGGGCAGCATGGGCATCCCATGTCCAGGTGCATATGGGCCCCAGGGTGCGAGTGGCCCTACTGCAGGCCCTACCCCGGCTCACCCGGAGCCAGCCATGCTGGCAGCCTTGCCTTTTGAATTTGTAGAGGATGATGGCACCCACGGCAAAGAGCCCCACGATGAAGAGGACCACCACAGCCCAGTATCCGCCGCCGCCACCCAGCCTCTGCAACTCTGCAAACAAAGCGGCCAAGGGCCTGGGATCAGCCTGTCCCCCAGCCTGGCCGCCTCCCACCATCTGACTGAGAGGGCAACGGGTTATAGGGATAGTGCGGCCTTTTGGGAACCTTGTCACCTGCCCGTTGACTCAGTGTGGTGGGGACAGCAGTGTGTGGCCCCCGTCCTGTGGAGGAGACCCAGTGCCCCACCTGGGGGGATGCCTGTGTCGATGGGCAGTGTGTGCCCCAAAGGGGCAGCAGGAATGAGCAGGGCCTCACAGAGAGCAGGACAGAGACGTCGGGGCCTAAACCAGGGGAACGAGGGCAAGAGTGCTGGCTGTGACCCTCGTGCTGCCCCCCGGCCAGGCCACAGGGCTAAGTGCAGATGCACACTGGGAAGCTGCTCACCTGAGTCTGTGTCCCGCAGAAACACCAAGACACGCAGTCCACCCTGGAGGACGAAGTGGACCTTCTGGGCACTCAGCACCTGCCGGATGGCTGTGAGTCTCTGAAAGCCGAAGAGGGGGTGGCCTGGGTGGTAACTGGGCAACCAGGGGTCACCAGAACCGGAGGGAGGCAGAGGTGACCCTGCCCCAGCCACAGAAGAGCAGACAGGCCCAGGCGCCTGGGAAGCCCAGCCTGTGTGGACACAGAAGCCTCGGCAGGACAGAAGGCCAGGAGGAGGCGGGCAGGCAGGACAGAAGGCCAGGAGGAGGC